TGGGGCGCCTCGTATTCCTGACCGCTGAGACACCCCCGTTGTACACGCATTGCGCACATCCCCGTCCAGGAGACTTCACCAATGGCTCCAGTCGCAGACCTTGGATCGACATGGGCAGTCCTCGCCCGTACGATGCTCCATATGCCGCGACTCCTCCACTTGCATCCCCACCACGCGGACAGTCGGACGACCACGAAGCGATGCGCTCCTGGTTCAAATACTCAGTCGCGAGTCTGACAATGTCAATTCACTCCATCTTTCATCTGACGTTTGAGGATTCTTGAATCAAGCCCAGCATGACGGAAAATACAAGCCTTCTTCTCACGCTCGTGCGAGGCATCCAAAATGCGTCACTCTTGCGCATATCTGCTGCCGTCGTCGGCCTTGTGAGTGACATCCACCAGCATTCGGAACACGCACTGGGACGCACACTGCGAGAGCCAGTGTCCGGCCACATGCTCTCCATCTGCATCTCCTTGACGCTGCTAATGAATGGCAGGCGATCGCACAATACTTCTTCCAGGCCATATACCGACTCTACTTTCACCCACTGCGCCACTTCCCAGGCCCTAAACTCGCGGCAATTTCCCGCTTTCCCAAAGCCTACGCGACATTCACCGGGAGGGCACACCACTACACCCATGCGCTGCACGAGCAATACGGCGAGGTCGTGCGCTTAAGCCCCAACGAACTCAGCTTCATCCACCCCGACGCCTGGCGAGACATCTATGGCCATGGCAGCGGTCAAGGTAAAGGCACGCAGGGGTCTGTGCCCGGAAAGTACTGGGAATGGTATGGCCTGTGCAGCAACAAAGTAGCGCACATGATCCAAACCAAGGACCCCGCGGAGCACGCGCGTATACGGCGAATCTTCAAACCTGCATTCTCAGATCGCGCTCTGAAAGAACAGGAACCGCTGCTCCTCAAGTATGTTGAAAAGCTGATCAGTAATCTGAAGAGGGACGTGAGCAAAGACCCTGACCACAAGTTCGACATCGTTAAGCAGTATAATTGTAAGTCGACCGCAACAATGGCAGACAAAGTACCGCCACTAACATAGCGCCTGCCTCCAGTCACGACATTCGACGTCATGGGCGATCTCACCTTTGGCGAATCTCTCCACATGCTCGACGATTCCAAGTACGACCCCTGGGTCGCTGTCATTTTCAACCAGTTGAAGCAAAACTCACTTTTCAACTTCATGGCCTACTATCCTTGGATCAATAGCCTTGTAAAAAACAACCTTCCCCCAAGTGTACTGAAGGTCAAGATGGAGCACTTCCGATACAGCGTGGAGCGTGTCGATAAACGTCTCCAGGGTCGCCAGAGCGAGGGCCATGACTTGTGGGATTTCATCTCGACCGAGGACAAGAAGCTGCAGCTGTCAAGGGACGAAATGAACTCGAATGCGACTCTGTTCATGACGGCTGGCACAGAAACCACGGCTACGTTCCTCTCCGGCTTGACGTACAATCTGCTCAAGAACCCTGACAAGATGGAAAAGGTCTGCAAGGAGATTCGTACTACCTTTCGGGATGAGAGCGAGATGACCATGGAGGCTATCGCCGCATTGCCATATCTCGCTGCCTGTTTGAAGGAATCCTTCAGGGTGTATCCCTCCGTCCCGAGCGGCCTGCTGCATTTGACGCCCGCCAATGGCTCGACCATCTGCGGACAGTTCATCCCGCCAAACGTACGTCCTGCTTTCATTGCATCTTGGGCCTAAATCGCTGACGCCAAGCAGACAATTGTTTCCGCCCCGCACCTCGCAATGTACTTGTCTCCATCCAACTTCAAAGAGCCCCAGTCCTTCCTTCCTGAGCGCTGGATGGGCGACGAGAGATTTGCCAATGACCGCAGGCATGTCCTGCAGCCGTTTTCCGTCGGCTCCAGGGACTGTCTCGGCAAGAAGTAAGTCGACGCCCGCACATCCGCACCGTCTTGGAGATTCGCAAACTGACAATGTCTAGCCTGGCGTGGCACGAGATGCGCCTCATCGCCACGCGTGTGCTATTCAACTTTGATCTCGAACTCTGTCCCGAAAGCGACGGCTGGTTGGACCAGAGGACATTCCTGCTGTGGGAGAAGCCCGAGATGTACATCAAGCTGAAGCCCGTAAAGCGCTGAGTGTTTCGACCTGTCGGGGGGACCATTCGGTTCTGGTGCCACTAGATTGTCGACGTTCCGCTCCGCGGGGGCGAGGGTGTTGTAAAAGTGTGAAGGTCTGCTTGGTGTTTGTACATAGATTGATGTTTTATTTGAAATCTTTTTGTACTGCTGCTTGACCTTGACTTGACCTTGACTTGGCCTCAAGTTGACTTGAACTTGACCTGACCTTGACCTGACCTTGACCTGACCTTGACTTGACCTTGACTTGGCCTTGATCTGACCTTGACCCTGACCTGACCTTGATCTGACCTTGATCTGACCTTGATCTGACCTTGATCTGACCTTGACCTGACCTTGACTTGACCTTGACTTGACCTTGACTTGACCTTGACTTGACCTTGACCTCAGCTTGACATCTCGACCCAGTCCAGCCTTGACAAGCATACACACCGCAGAAACAGTCCTTCCGAGCTGAGGGCGGGACACGTGCGGACCTACCTCGCAGAGAGGTACAAGGATAGGCCAGACAGGGCTTGACAGTGGCTTCCGGAATGTCGACGCTCAGCCAGGACCAAGAACCGACCCGATCCGCTGCAGGTGGCCGGAGCGAGCGAGCGGGATACCCGGCACGCTCCAGCCGCGCGCTGCTGTACGAAATATCTAGCGCTGCTGACTGCAAGGACATGGCCACGGTGAGGGGTCGTTAGAGTGTGACGCGCAGTTGCTGTTGTCAAGTGTCCCAGCAGAAACCTACGTCTACACAACTACCCGTATAACTCATCTGGCACCAGTGCCTGCTCGCCTTTGCGCAGCGCTACCGGAACGACATCACAGAAGACCAGCGCGAGGCCCTGCTCGACCTGCTGCTGACAAGAGGGCACAAGAGCATCAGCCCCGACGTCAGGCGGGAACTGCTCGAGGGCAGGGGCCGCGGCGTCGTTGCCGACCCGGCCGCCGCCGTCGGCGTCGACGGCGACGATACCATGGTCATGGGTTGACGTCGCGCGACATACCCTGAATCATGACATGATGTGCATTGGGAGGCGTTTTAGATGGAAAAGCAATACCGTCGAATTCGGTCCTTATTCAGCGCCTCTTGTCGTCGCCATCTATTGTTGCCATTTGTTGTTGCCATCTGTTGCCATTTGTTGTTGCCATTTGTTGTTGCCATCCGTTGTTGCCACCTGCTGTTGCCATCCGTTGTTGCCATCCGTTGTTGCCATCTGTCGTTGCCACCTGCTGCATGCCTTGCACTCTTACCATGTGTACCTAGTCTTGCGGGAATAACACCCTGCACCCACAGAGTCAAATGGAGCGCTGCTGATTGACCACCTGTTCGCGTGTGGCAATTACCTGCACAGGTTTATACCTACCCCTAGTTGGGCAAGCGCGTGAACGTGAGGTCGAAATCAACTGCAACGCATCATGTCGTTCTTACCTTTTTGAGACTAGACTGCTGATCCTGAGATTAGACTGCTGATCCTGAGATTAGACTGCTGACCCTGAGATTAGACTGCTGACCCTGAGATTGTTGACCTCGCTCCTCTGTCAACCACCACACGGAGCTTTCTCCTTTGCACGCTTGCACCACCCATCGCGTCTGCGTTAATAAGCTAGCAAAGCGGCCAGCAAGACCATGGTGCGAAAACGGCAGGTCTAGCGGCACGGATCGCCAGAGATCTCTTCGCGGAGAGTCGGATATATCGCAGAGCACCCGCCGCGGGATTTCAAAAAGTGAAACTCTCGCATGCCAAGTGCCGACATGTCACTACAAGGG